GGGGAGGAGCGGGGGTGAAGGGGGGCTGCCTGGCGCTGCCGCCGGGCCGCCGGCGCTCCGCTGTGTGGCTGGCCGCCTGGCTGGCCGCCTGACTGCCTGCCTCCCGCCTGCCTCCCGCCTGCCTGCCTGAGCCTGCCTGCTCGTCAGTTTGCCAGTGGCGCGCGCGTGGAGAGGACGTACGTACGCGCGTTCTCCCCAGCATTCGTTCTAGCGATCGCAGACTGTCAGCCATTTCCAGTCTTATCTAAGTGAATTAACTCGTGTGACTCGTGCCAACCAGTGTCAAAAGTGATGTCCCCGCCAGCATGACCAGGCTGCCCGTGTACACCCGGGCGGAGGAGGCCAACCACTTCAGGATGGCGATGACGCTTCGGTCGTGGATGGCGGTGCTGGGGGTGCTTCTGGCGCTGGCGCCCGCACCATCGTCGCTGTCGCTCGCCCTGCACGTGGACGTCGGCCACCACCACCCAGTCAACATGGAACAGTGGAGTGTCCGCGCACCAGGTGAGTCCCGGACACGCTTGTGTCTTCTCGTAGAGGCCCACACCGCCGGAGCCGTGGTCGTGGCTCGCACGGCCGCCGCCCTCCCCATCGACCCCGACGTGATGCCGGCGCGATACGACCCCGATAGCCATCAGCTGATTCCGGAAGCAGGCCATGACGTCCGACGGCGAGGCGGGGGCACATCTGCATAGGGCACACACGGGGAACCTTGTCACCACGTGAGAACCGCGCGCAGGACCCGCGGGCCGCGGGGCAGGAAGTCGCGCCGGCGCCAGGTAGACGCATTAAGGGGCCGTTAAGCACCCGATACAGTTAAGCACTCGAACGTTGAGCACGGCGCGAGTACGGCACGGAGTGCCCGTCCACTTTGGGCCTGGCCCCGCACGGCCCCGCACGGCCGCGTGCAGAGTGCTGGCGCCGGCGCCGCGATTGGGTGAAAGGCGTGGCGCCGCCGCCGCGCCAGACGGGCGGGGCGGGGCGCTGCCCGCGGGCCGCCGCTCTCATTCTGACAGTTCACAGTCGAGGCCAGCCGCCAATCACCGACATGCAGCCCACGACCATCACGCCGCGAGGTCGTGCGTGCGGGCCGCACCCGTCTCTCTCCAGAGCACGCCGAAAAGTACAGCGTGCTCTGGCGGACACGAAGGAGCGAGTGCGGATGATGCCTTTGGCCGGGCGGCCGACAACCGCGGCGTTGCCGTCTGGCGCCAGTCGCGGGCACGGCGGGGCCGCGGCCGGCAGAGCGCTGACTTTGTCAATCGCCACATGACACTGGCCGGCGGCGGGGCCCGGCCGGACTGGACTGGGCGGCCGTGAGGCGAAGCGGCGGCGGCGGCGCTGTCAGATGTGCCCCGGAGCGACGCTCGGCCGGCACAGCTCGCGGGGGCAACAGGTGCGCGGGGCGGAAGTATAGCTCCGGGCCGGGTGGAGGCGAAGGGCGCCGGCTCTCTGCACCCGGCTAGTCTGCCGCGGGGGTGGTCGGCGACGGGACGGGACGTGCGTGCCATTACCGACCGGTCGGGCCGGGCCGCCTATCTCCCCGCTCATCACGCCGGGCCGGCGCGGCGCCACTTCAGCGCCGCTCCGCTGCAGGCCGCCCAGCAGGCAGTGATGAGTGGCGGGGAGGGGCGGGCCGGCGAGGGAGAGGACGGGACGGGGCGGAGGGGTCGGCGACGATTTTCGCAATTTTCGAGTCTCGGTGTAAATGAGGGGGCGTTACGTCGGCGGCAGTGGCGGCGGCGGCGCCGGTCGTCACATGTGGGGCCGTGGTGGTTGTGGCTACACGGATGAGTGGTGTTGTGGGTGTGTTTGGCCGGAAAGTTTTGCAGAGGAGGATACTTTGCCTATCCTGCATACAGATTCGATAAAGGAGCAATCTTTAGTGCTTTGCATTCCCGGCTGCGCCGCGTTGCGCGTGCACGTTAAAACCTCGAGTATGTAAATCCGGAAAAGAGTTTTTTTGCTTCTTTTTTGTCGAGTTGATTGTGCGGGCCGGAGGGACCGGGACGGCAGGACGGCCGATTGTTCGAGGGGGAGGTAAGGCAACAAGGTGCGGCGGGCCGGGCGGCCAGCCCGAGCAGCCGGGCCGCCGGCCGGCCGGTGGTGGAGATGGGCTGGCTGCCGGCCCCGGCTGCCCGGTCCCGTAGGGCAGCCTGCTCTTTGGGAGCCGAGCGGGCCCGGTGGTGCCGACGGTGCCGTCTGTCCCAGCAGGGCCACGAGGACTGTCTGGCGCCAGTCCCCTCCTCCCTCCTGCGCCGCATCTCCTCCCCGC